GTGAGATGTTAAAATATGAGACTGTAATTTATTTTTTTATTTCCATAACTCTCCCATATCAAACTGTTAATGGCTTTATTTTTAAAAGATTTTCAAGATGCTACTAAAAAGAACAGATCTTTTCAAACTGATGTCATTATTCTTTGAAGTACATGAATTTTCTTCAGGCTTTAAATAATATATTAAAATGTTTTATATATATATATACATTACACATACACATATTACCTTTATAATATGATCTAGACCACTCCAAGAGCCAGAGTTCCTCTTTAAACAAGTCTCCTGCTCATTTAGAACTAAGGGACAGTAACGTGTCCAGAGCTAAATGTCCAGCCTGAAAATCAGAAACACCATTAATGATTATTGATGCACAACAAGAATTCTGAAGCAACAACTCTAGAGATTTTTATTTAAAAAAATACTGCATGCTACCAGCCCATAGTATTTTGGGTGGTTGTGTAATTAGGTTTGTTTGTTGTTTACTTTTAATTTCTTTTTCAATGGAGGTACTGGGGATTGAACCCAGGACCTCATGCAAGCTAAGCATGTTTTCTACCACTAAGCTAAAACACCATAGCATTTTTATAACACAGTAAATGCCTTTTTCTGTTAACCTAAACTTATTTAAATTGGTATCAGAAAAGTCTTGAACTGTAGAAATTTTTTTTAACGTTGTCTTATTTCACAGAAAATCCATTATTTCCAGTAGTTGATCATTTGCTAGTTCAATAAAATACATATTGCTACTGTTATTTCTACCATATAGAGGCTCAAGGGTGAGACTGACAAGCCAAAGGCTACATGTATTTCAACTACAGATCAATATATTGAATTAATTTACCACAAAAGTTGTAACAAGCAACACTGCATGAACAGGGTGTGGGTGTATCTAAACTTTTGCCTGATGGTAAAAACGTCTCTTACTGCTATGCTTTATATTTTTCTATTTTTAAAATAAGCCTGTTTTCATGTATTTATCACTTAACTGTATTTCTTCTACTGTAAGCCCCCGTCAAATATTCCTTCCTTATTTTCCAGCTAAGTTTCTTGTCTTCTTCCACATTGTTCTATATACGTTCTTATCTATTCTGAATAAAAATCCTGTTATCTTTAGGGCTTCAGATTCACTAGTTTTAAACTTTACACCTCAGCGGCAGCAGCTTGAATACCCATCATGTGACCACCATGACAGTATTATACACAAATGATGACTGAGGGCCACCAGTAGAGGGAGCACAGAGCACTCAGAACCTTATTTATAAACCAGTCTACTTTTCCTTTAATTTTTTTCCTTTTTTTTATTGTATTTTTTAAAAACACACATAGTCACACTCCAATAAAGGGCAACCTGGTTCCTGTTGAAATAAAGAAGCTTTAGTTTATCAAAAGAAATGCTTTAATTAGCAAAGCTGAAAAGACCTGATTTTCTTCCCAAAGTGTCTTTCCTTTGAAAGAAGCAACTTTAAGTTTTCCTGACCTATTTGAAACTGAATATAACTTAGATATTTAGAAATGTAAAAAAATCTAATCAACAAAAATCTTAGTATTATTAGATTTAGAAGAGATCTAAAGACTTCATTTTATTCTTTATAAAAAAAGCAAGGTTGATGTGCAAGGTGATAAACATAAAACTAGAATTCAATACTATAAAAACAGATTAAATTTTACCCAATTCTCATTCTAAGGCCCTGAAAGAGTAATGTAATGAGATCAGTTCAGGTAAGTCAGCTCATGAGTCACAGTAGTGAAGCTGAAGTCTAATGGGGCTTTCTTCATTTAGAAAAGAGAGTACATAGTAATTTGGTGTTAATATAGCAAAGATTCACAAGATTTTATGCAAAAAAGGAAATTTATTGTTTCTACAGGCATAAAAAGGACTGTATGCTATATTCAGTATACTATAAGCCAGTATTTAAAAGTAGCCTACAGTTCAAACATTTCATTTGAAACTGGAATAGTCCTCAAAAAGTTAAAAGCACAACCAAATCATTAATAAGAATACTACTCAGCATCTGTGAGCTCTTGGATATTTGAATTATATTTATTATTTTAATAATATTAATATTTTAAGTTATCTTTCCACAGCACATCAGGAGTAGTCATGTATTTCAAGGAAGAGGTCAAACAACTAACAAAACAAACAACACTTATGTGTAGGGGATAGTCACTCTATAAAGCAATGTCTATTGTAAGATTTAAAACGCACACCAAATTCAGGAATAGTTGAAGTGGGGGTGGTGTAAAAAGAAGCATCCTAACATTAGCAACTGTGTTTGGTTTTAATCATGTGGTTAACTCTTTAACACAATATAACAAAGTTATAATGGTATTTACCATCCTAATAAATTCAACGAATGATGGAGAAAATTCAAGGAACATGTTAATCATCATGTTATTCAAGAGAAAACGCCTGGAAAGCATTGAAAAGTACAACAGTATGGGAGACAAAATAGTAATAAAGGTATATTTATTCAATCATGCTGCAAATAAAAATTACAGGCTCAAATTTCTACCATTAAAATTAGTATATGTAAAAATATTAAAAGTACTTTTAAAAGTAAAATACATTTCAAAAATAGCATACAGATGGTTTGGTAGAAGGTAGAAGGATTGCTTATCTACAATCTTACCACTTTTCTAATTTTCATAATTGAAAGGCCTGAGTACACGTCAATTTTGTATTCTGCCTTTTAATGGTAACTCATTTTCCCTCTCAAACCCCACTCAATATGAATCTATTCCCTGCTCTATCTTAACTAAACACAACAATAACCCTAAGTCATATGTGGCTAACACAAAGCCTTCTGCATTTTTGAGGCAAATGCTGCAGTCTTCAGTTTTTTGGGCAGTAGAAAAACCAATGCTTCCATAGTTCAGATGTTGGAAATATATGAAAGTTGGGAATATTTAATATATTTTTTTTTTTTTAGTGACAAGTCCAATTATCTTCTACTGGCCTACCAATCTTTAAGAAAAGCTTAAAGCTTCTTTAAAAGAAGCCAGAAGAAAGTAGAAATAATATCAACCAAAAGCAACATAGTCATCTTAACCTAGGGAGTTGCATTGAGCATAAAGGTAGCCACAGCCATGACCCCCAGTATAAGAGACTTTGCTCCAGAGAAGGGCTGATGCCCAGGAATCTTCCTTCCGAGTCTTGATCTCTTATAGCAGTTAATCAGACATCCTGAGATACTCTGAAATAAGTGAATACTCACTGAAAATGGCTTTTGAAAATCCTTTGAATCTTTATCCCTGAAACCTACAAAGAGAAAGAATTCAGATCCCTAGTAGCCTCAATGTAGTTACATTAAAAACAAACAAACAAACAAACAACAACAACAACAACAAAAAGGAAAAGGATTAGGCAAAATACAATAAAAATTGTTACCAGGAAATACACAACAAAACTAAACTAAATACTGATGGGCCAGTTTAGGAACATCAGGCAGGGAACAGAATTACGTTGAGCAAAATCTCACAAGAATGTACCAAACTATAAGCAAGGGTTTAAATGATTCGTTGAAAGTCACATAACAACTATGACTAAAAACTTCCTGAAAATAATTTTTATTTTATAATGGAAAGAAGGAAACCACCATTGTACTTTCCAGGTCAAGGTGCTTGTTGTGCACAGTTTCACAGACTGTCTGAAATTTTTCTTTAATTTTATTCATGTCTTTTTCATTCAACAGCTTAGCTCAAGAAGCATCTTGTTCCAGTTCTAAAAGTCAAATCATTTGATCTAGGCTAGCTCTATCAGGACCCATGTTCAAAAGATCTCTACTCAGTATGTACATGAGAGCAGCTGTACAAAGGAACAGATTCTTCAACAGACAAAAAGAAAAAAAAGTCAGCAATTAGGGGTACTTTCAGGGGATAAGATCATTTTGACATTTGTTCATATTTTAGAAAGCTTGAAAATGTTTTATTCAGTGAAAACTCCCCTCTTTAAATATTCTAGGGAAATGTGAATTAAATAAATATATAAATAAAGCACTGCTGCTTAAAATTTTCCTTTCTTCAGAACTTTCCTACATAAATGCTTCTAGCTCTGGGACATTCAAGTGCGAAATGAAGGGTTTACAAAATAGTTTTTCAGCTAAATATAATCCTATTTTAAAATACCCTTCACTCTGTGTTCTTTATGATACAGTAAAGTTTTAGTTTACAATCAATAACCAAATGCAATGGTATAAGTGTAAAATCTGTATCAGAAACAGCTATTCTTCATGTAAAATAAACACAGCTGAGTTTGTGTCAATATATAAAGCTAGGATGCTCAAAGAAGCATATTCACACTCGTTTCTTTACAATAAACCTATCAGGTCCAGCTGAAGCAAGTAATTTTTAGAGAACCATTAATATATTCTCAAAATCATTCATATCAGGTAGAGTTAGCACACTCTGCTTATAATAAAATCTACAAGTATTGAAGGTGATGTAGGTAAGCATTAATATAACAAAAAGGTGTATGCTGGGATATTCTAACATGTGGAATATTCTGGTACTTAACACTTATTTCAGTGCACAGAAACACAATCAATTATCTAAACATTTAAGCTTTGAATCCTCAAAATTCTGACTAGGTAACTAAATGTTTACAGAGCAAAC